ACCTTCTCCCCCTCCCCCTCCTCCTCCGCACGAAATGTGAGTGGTTCGCTCTAAGCAAGTCTCATTGGGGTTTTCGGTGATGTGTCGGGAATGCCCCAACTGGCGCAATTGAATGTCATGTCCATGTGTTTCATTATTCATGAGAAGCGTTTCGATCAAACAGTAACGCAGAATTAAAACATCTTTTTTAATTCTACGGTACGTTTAAACAGAATAATCTTAAATTAATCTCCTGGCGTAATGTTTATTCATATTTTTATCTACACTTCATGAGAAAAAAAGAACTACAACTTAATTGTATATGAAATGCAGACGAGGGAATTACAGATCTGTATAAACAAGAGTGGATGTTACACTTTAACTTCGAATATAACCGTATGTTAATTTTCCGTTGTCAAGTTAGTGTATTTGGTATGAATATTTGAGTTTGGACAGCTAGTTGTCGTAAGTAAGACTTTCTTGTGGCCAGGAAAAATCTTTCACGTGAAGTAAGAGAAACGTTGAGGCAACTACATATTTACATTAATATGCGTGCAGTGAAACTGCAAACAACACATTACTTGCCCCAAGTTAGTTTCAAAAAATAACATTGCGGGTTATATTCGTCACTTGTTTGTTCGTCCACAATGATGGAAAGTGACTCCCAACAACACAGAGTTAACAAATTACGATTTTCTCTTTACCCTCAATCATACTAGAAGATACAACTTCTTTACAAAACGCTCTGCACTGAAAACATCAACATGTTAAAAACGTTAAAAATGTTGAGTGTTTCTTCAAGAAAAACTACTTCATATCTGTTACAAGTAGGTAAGCAAAATCGATGATTATTATATTTGTATTTATGTTTTGTATTGGAAATCGCTAATCAGTATTCAAGTGGCTGTGGAGAATTTTAACAATCTTTTAAACACGGTCGATTATTGTAATTACAGTTATTCTGTTTACTATGTAAATTGTGGTACGTATAAAATCATACCTTCAGGAACATGGATATATTAATCGTACTTTTGATCTGCATTGAGTTTTGTTAATGTTTAAATTATTACTTTTAAAAGTATTCAATAGTTCTTATGGTCATGAAATAGGATGCACCTCTTCGAAAGATGTACTATCTAAAATACCACATTTCCTCTTTTAAAGAACATTTGGGAGAGTAAAGAATCGTGGCACTGAAATTCAGGTATCTGAGCGTTACAATTTATTGTGTCCTCAGAGACATCCACAAATTAATAATAATGCATAAAGCGTCCCACATATTTTATGAGTAGTGCAGTGTGATTGAGTTTAGTTTGTATAATATTTTAACCTATTCCTAAAAGTACACATTCTACCATAGAAACGTGTAAATGCTATCTGCTCGAAGGCGCATGGAACTTTAAAATTCGAGTAGGTCGATTAGACGTATTCGAATTTTTTATTGCTGCGCAGTTCTGATGAGGTTTGCTCTGTCATTAAAAGACATTCGAAAAGCTTTAATTTGAATTATTTGTTCAGTGCCAACAATACCTTACAACCAGATCGATATCATAAGTATATATTACTGAATAATACTTTTTTAATTTTTTTTTCCTGGCCATACGATGAGGGAAAAAAATGTCCCGTTCTTTCTCCAAACCATCCGTCACACCTGTGAGCTTTGAGAGTTGTGAGAGTGGTGTAATAGTAGTTTATGCAATTAGTTTATAATGTCATAAAGCAACATAATAAACGAGTTGCATACTATAATTTTGGTATAACAGCATTGTACATTTATAAGACAATCAAACCTAATTTTGCGAAACAACTTCCCTGTGACGACTCTGGTATTTGACATCGTGCCAGTAAACGGTGGTAGGCTGTTCCGTTTAGCTCTATCTCCCCTCTATTCTCTCGCTGAGATTGGCTGAATGTGAGATTGCGCGTTCATTCGTGACATAAAATCTAATACGTCATCATTTGTGCCGTAAAATGCCCGATTATGAACGATTTCTTGCAACAGAAAAGGTTCTTTTACAATGCTGTAATACAAATAAGATCTTCCAACTGCAGTTGAGAGCTGTAAGTTTCTACCTTAAATGTTGTGAGCTGAGAGAATGTGCTGTGAACTCCTGAGTGTGAATGTGTCTAGATTTCAAACGAAGCAACCTCGCGTTCGTAGTACCTTTATTCATAATTCTCCAGTGTATAGTAAGAGTCGGGAGGACCCGTTTTACAAGGTTCCTCTTGACGAACGATTCCGGAGTTGTAGCTCACGCACGGATGAGCAGAGAGTTCCGTACTTTCCCATAGGCCTCATTGCGTATGTGTGCGATCGCTAAATCTCCGGAATCGTCCGTTGGAAGAATACGTATCTTGCGAATACGGTATTCGATCGTGAGGATTCTGGAGCTCAAGAAATGGTGAACAGATTATACATTTCCCCCATACGTCACATAATATTGTAAAGGAAATTTATAATACCACGGAATTTATACGTCGCATAGTTTGTTTGTTTTTTAAGATAAATAAATCAGATGCGAAAGGGGTGTGAGCTCAGTATGCACCGACATAAGCCTCCTCAGCAGTTGGTTTGAGTGTGTGCTTGGGGGGTTGTGAGGGGTGTGCGTTTAAAATTGTGAACTTGATGTGTGTCCAGTAAAGCTCTCTGCCTGCTATGAATATGTCCGTTGAAAGATACTAGCGTAATATTTGCTTTCGTCAAGCGGCATGAGTTAGTGTATTCTTTTTTAATTCTATTCCTCTCGTAACAATGTACCAAGCATTTATTCGGCATTGAATACAGAGTAATTTTACGTATTCGTAGACATAAGTAGCTCAGAGTAATTTTCCTTGAAAGTAATAATTTTGTAAGAATGTCATTGTCCTTTATCCTTATCGGCCAAGGTCTCAGCGTCGTTCTCATATGGTCACCCATCCAGGAACCCACTTTGCTTATCCGTCGTGACTTCACACAGAGTGGTTAAGCAGCCCTGCTACCGACAGCGGGCATATATAAGGGAGTGCGATGAGAGTTTCGGCTGAGAGTTGTGAGAATAGGTTCGTCCCTTGAAGCCCACCAACTGCAGTTGAGAGCTCTCTTAAGTTTGAAAGTTGTGAGAGTGCTGTGCATCCTTTGTAGTCCTTCTTCTGCAGCTGAATGCTTTGAGCCTGTTTGTTGTGAGTTGCGACCGAAGTGTGTGCATTCCTCGCGTAGACCTAGCAGCAGGCGTGATGTGTGCTGATATTTGTGAGCATGGTTTTTCTTCCCTTGAAGCCCAACAACTGCAGTTGAACGTTGTAAGCGTGGTGTGCGTCCTTTGAAGTCCTCCGTATACAGTTAAATGCCATAAGAATGTCAGTTTAGAGTTGCCACCGCAGTGTGTTCTTTTTCTCAAGCCATCCTAGCAGGGTGTTTGTGATGTGTGTAAGGGTGTGAGCCATGAGCGCGGTGTGTGCATTCCTCAAGCCGCCCTAGTAGCGCGTGATATGTATGTGTATGTTGTGAGCTGTGAGCATTCCTCGAGTCACCCTAACAGCGAGTGTGCCGTGTGTGTGAGCTGTGAGCGCGGTGTGTGCTTTCCTCAAGCCGCCCTAGTAGCGCGTGTTATGTATGTGTCTGTTGTGATCTGTGAGCTTTCCTCGAGTCACCCTAACAGCGAGTGTGCCGTGTGTGTGCTGTGAGCTGTGAGCGCGGTGTGCGCAGGCGAGGAGGCGCTCGAGTCCGGCCAGCGCCAGTACTCCCTGGCGGACTTCGAGCTCATCCGAGTGATCGGACGCGGCAGCTACGCTAAGGTGCTCATGGTGGAGCTGCGCAAGACGCGGCGCATCTACGCCATGAAGGTCATCAAGAAGGCGCTCGTCACTGACGACGAGGTGAGTCGCCTGCACGCGCTGCCGGACACACAAATACAGACTCACACTCTCTCTCACTCACACTCTATCTCACACACACACTTGCTCACACACTCACACTCTCACACACACTCACTCTCTCACACACACTCACACTTTCACACACACTCACACTTTCACACACACTCACACTCTCTCACACACTCACACTCTCTCACACACTCACACTCTCTCACACACTCACACTCTCACACACACACTCACACTCTCTCACACACACACTCACACTCTCACACACACACACTCACACTCTCTCACACACACTCTCTCACTTTCTCTCACACACACACTCTCTCACTTTCTCTCTCACACACACACTCTCTCTTACTCTCTCACATACACACACACTCTCTCTTACTCTCTCACTTACACACACACTCTCTCTTACTCTCACACACACACACTCTCTCTTACTCTCACACACACACACACTCTCTTACTCTCACACACACACACTCTCTTACTCTCACACACACACTCTCTCTTACTCTCACACACACACACACTTGGGTCATTGTACTGGCAATGCTCTTGGATGCCCAAGCGACTCTGAACTGATCCAGAAACTGAAGATCTTGAAAAACCCTACTCACCCATTCGTCACACTGTGTTTAGATGCTTTTTACGTTTAAGAAAGAAAGGAAGATAGTAAGCCTCGACATAAAGATCGAAAAGCTACCCAACCGACCTACGTTGCGGAGACCAGGCAGCCAAGAGCAATTCAATGACACACTACGATTGATTGATTGATTGATTAGTGATTCCGCGTCAACGGCTAAGCTAGTTATTCCCGTGAGTATAGTACATGTTTTATCGCGAGCTGTGGCTGTGATCTTCCCCCGCTAGATGACAAGATCCGGGGACATACCTGACGAACGGTAACGTACCACCTACCGTGGTCAATACCCAATTAATTTGCGGCACTGTTTACTGCACGGGGAAAAAAAGAACCGTTGGAGTATATCAGATCCATGATACTGTAACAAGGAACCATGGAACTGGTTTACCCCAACGATTCTTTTTTTTTTTTTTCGGTGTGGTCCTCATTCCAATTTAACGTCAATTCTACTTCGGACTACAGAAAGTCAAAAGAGTCCAGGCTGGGGCAGTGCCCTCTGGTGGGAGATACGCTGTATCTCGCCATTTAGCGAGGGCATATCACCGCCACCTCCGGCGATAAGAACATGCACTACACTCACGGAACTAATGACCTTAGCAGTTGACGCGCCTGGAATCACTTACAAATCAATCAATCTAGCAAAAGAGTCGCGAACGCATGCGTTCTTGCATTCGTCTTCCTTGTATCTTCTCCCAATACTTACACACACACACACACTTCACGTAAATGCACACTATCACAGATGTCGGGAGACTAGTCGGAAAGTTCGAGCTTATTCCGGTTGGGGCTGTTCTCTACCGGGGCCGAATCTCACCATCCGGCGGGGAGGGAACCACATTCACACACTTGAGATCTAGGACACTAGGGGATCCTTCACACTTGGTGACGCTACCGGGAAGCGACAGAGCCCTTCACACGGTGCCACTGGGTGGCACCACCGAGAAGCGGCAGAACCCTTCACACGGAGCTACTTGGTGGCGCTCCGAGAAGCTGGAGAGCCCTTCACACGGAGTCACTTGGTGACGTCACCGAGAAGCGGCAGAGCCCTTCACACGGAGCCACTCGGTGGCGCCACTGAGAAGCTGTAGAGCCCTTCATACGGAATCACTTGGTGGCGCCACCGAAAAACGGCAGAGTCCTTCACACGCATCCACCGTCAACCGCCACTGACCGCGAGAGTGTAAGATTTCGTACCTCACACCGCTGTGGTCTTAAGCTGCCGAAAAGCAGGCGGCAGCAAGCAAAAACCGGTTCAGTGGCGCGTGTAATGTGAACGCAGCCATTTATAACTGTCATGTTCTAGCGGTGGCGCGAACGCGCTGGTGGTGGCGGGAATTTGCCAACGACCGCAATAGCAGGTCGAATACGCCACTTGTGTGAATACCTTCATTTAAACCAATGCTTCGCCAGCGCTGCTAAGTGGCGCCGCGTGAAAGGGCTCTAAGGGGAGGAGCGGAGTGCCGCGAATGTATAACTGACCGTGCGTGGGGTGTTGCAGGACATCGACTGGGTGCAGACGGAGAAGCACGTGTTCGAGACGGCGTCGAACCACCCGTTCCTGGTGGGTCTGCACTCGTGCTTCCAGACGCCCTCGCGCCTGTTCTTCGTGATCGAGTTCGTGCGCGGCGGGGACCTCATGTTCCACATGCAGCGCCAGCGCCGCCTGCCCGAGGAGCACGCGCGCTTCTACGCCGCCGAGATCTCGCTCGCGCTCAACTTCCTCCACGACAAGGGTGAGGCGCGCCGCCGACCCCCCACCTCGCTGCCTCCCGCCCTGAATCCTCCTCCCACCTTCCCCTCCTCCTCCACCTCCCTCCACTCCACCTCCCCTCCTCCTTCCACCCTCCCCCTCCCCTTCCACACCTCCCTCCTCCCAACTCCCCCTCCTCCTCCCACCTCCCCTCCTCCTGCCCACCTCCCCCCTTCCTTCCACTCCCTCCTCCTTCCCATCCTCCCCCTCCTCCTTCCACCTCCCGCCTCCTCCTTCACCTCCCCCCTCTCCCACCTCCCCCTCCTCCTTCCACCTCCCCCCTCCCTTCCACCCCCTCCTCCCCCCACATCCCCCTCCTCTACCACTCCCCCTCCTCAACCCACCCCCCCTCCCTCCTCGCACCCCCCCCTCCTCCCACCTCCCCCTCCCCCAGCTCCCCCTTCTCCTCCCACCTGCCTCCCCACCTCCCGCCTCCCCCTCCTCCCCACTCCCCTCACCTCCCCCTCTCCCCTCCCCCTCATCCCCACCTCCCCACTCACCCCTCTCCTCTCCCTCCTACACCCCCCTCCTCCCCCATCTGCTGCTCCCCTCCGCCAGTCGTTTTGATGCCCTCCGTATCCTCTCCCCTTCCCGCTCCTCACCCCTCTTCCTCCTCCTCGCTCCTCCGCCGTACCCGGTAAGCTCCTCCTCCTCCCTCTCCTGTATCACACACTCTAACTCCTCGCTTCCCTTCTCTCTCCCCTTTCTCCTCCCTCTTTTCCCTCCCTTCCTTCCTGTCGACCCCTCTTCTTCTCCTCGCTTTCCTCCCTCGTCCAATCGTTGATACTCCCCCTGCCACTTTCTTTTCCTTTCTCTTTTTCACCCCCTCCCCTCTCTTCCTTCTCATTTGCCTCCCCTGCCTTATCTTTCTCCTCTACTCCTCTCTTTTGCCATCCCTCTTCCTTTGCCTTGACCTCCTTCATATTCTTCCTTCTTCATATATCCTCCCCTTTGGTTTTTCTTTTCTTCTTTTGCTCTCCCCCTCTTTCTCTTTTGTCTTTTCTCTCTACTGCTCCTATCCCTTTCCTGCTTTCTCTCTCTCTTCATTTTCACATTTTTCAGACTTATTACTCTTTTGTTCCATCTTTTTTCTACTCTATCTTTTTATTTTCTTCTACTTCCATCTGTTGCTTTTTTCATCTACCACCTCTGTTTCTCTTTCCTAGTCATTACTCATTCTTTCCATTTTATTTTATTTTATTTCATTTACTTTTACAGAGTATCTTTTCACATTGATTCCTATTTCATCTCTTACATCAACTACAGTTCTTTCTTTTTCTATTTTTTTCCTTATTGTAATTTATGTTCAGTCTTCTTATTAGCATTCATTCTAAACTGAAGTATGTTAATGCGATTTAGAAGAGTTTAGCAAGTTACATACTGTTTATGAAGAAAATTTATGTGACCCACACTATGAAATATGAATGAAATTATTCATTCATTCTTTTAGCAGACACTTAGCTTAACTTTACATCTCCTCTTAAATTTGATGAACAATCTGTGGTGCAATGACAGTTTAAAAAGGGAAAATTCTCAGTAAGTATTAGTTGCTAGAGATTTACATGTATTAATGTTAGGGCGATTTGTTAAATTCTTTCATTTGTTCAAAAAATTTGTGTCAGTCTGGCACTACTGAAAGTATTTCATAAAAAATGTGAGATTGTTTTTAATATTCTAATTTGTGTTCAAGATATTTGAGTTGTTGCGCAACATACTTATTTTACATAATGCACCTGAACTGTCTCCCAATTCTCTTTTGTTTGATTTGGAAATGGTAATTGTATGTTTTGCAGTGCAACAATACAATATTATTTGTTTATGTGCATTTATTATATAATTTTTGTATGCATTCAGTGCATTAATTAATGGTATTTATTGATTTCTCTTACAGGTATTATCTACCGAGACCTCAAGCTGGATAATGTGCTCCTAGACCATGAAGGCCATATCAAACTGACAGACTATGGCATGTGTAAAGAAGGCATCCGACCAGGCGACACCACATCAACCTTCTGTGGCACCCCTAACTACATCGCCCCTGAGATTTTGAGGGGTGAAGACTATGGCTTCAGGTATATATTCAATTTAACAATGATCCGAAGAATTAGTAGACATCTCATATTTTTTTCATTAAATCCAGGAAAGCTAATTAACTTGTGAGCAACAAAGGTAACTCTCCACGTACATTTATGTAATTGTTTCAATCTGGAAATAAGGACTGACTACCCATTAAACTGTCATTCTAACATTGGGTTAATTAGTATCCCTGGATCCACTGAAAAAGATCTGCTAAATTTACTATACAAGAATAGTAATTAAGATATTTCTACTAATTCTACAACATTATAATTTATAAATATATATTCATGGACATTCCATGGGTCAGATTTGTAAATCTGGAAGCTGTCCTCGGGAAATGGAAACATCTAGTAATTGTAAATCAAGGCCTATCAGAAAGATGGATTGGGAGCAAAGAGCTTTAGGTAGCGATCATGGCAGCTGAAGAAAGGTATGAGTGAAAGGCTAGAGCAAAGACAATTGAAGGCCACAAGAGACAAGAGGGACAGTTGGCTCAGATTCATGTGAACCATCATTGTGATCATTGTGAAATTTGTTTGAACGTTATTCAAGAGGAAGGAAAAGCCTCCCACAGTAATAATCCTGCAATGTTTATTTAGTCAGTGCTTAAGTTGTTTTTTTTTCTTTTCGGGACATAATGTGAAGTGCAAACATTTTATAATGTTAAACAAATGGAATCCAAAGAGAGATTACATGCACTGTCATGCAGCAGAGTAAGACAAGAATAGGTTCAAGAAATAGGAAACGGTTGTTAATAGATTGAAAACAAGAGCTTTTAGTCAGGATAGTTAAGGCTTAGTTAGGTTGTTGTTTTCACTTCATGATTTAATGCATCAAAAATTAAGAAGTGTGTCATGAAGTGCTCTAAACCTGTGATGTTTTGAATGATTATATTAAAGGATGGAGATAATACTATCAAAATGGATAGGAATTCAAATAAATTAGTAGTCATACACTGGTTCGCATTGCAACTGTATACTCTTTGGTAGTTTGTAAAATAACTCTTACATAAACATATTTTCACACTTTATAACAATTCAACATTTGTTGTTAAAATGTTTGTGTCATAGGATTTTTTAAAAATTTATTCTTTGACAGAACTGTTGTTTAATTGCAATTATCTAATATCATAACAGGCAAGAGTAACCATTCGAAGGCTATCTGAAAAGATGTTTTGATATCTGATATTATAGGCTTCCATGCGAGGTGTCTGTGCGAAACATGGTCACAGTGTGGTGACCAATGAATCTTCTCACACTTCTGAATTTGGTGATTAAATTTTTCGTGCCACTCCGTTATGTCCCAACTCCTCACTGAGAGACAGCTGCAACTAGCCTTAACTACAAGGAGCAAAATCATAATGAATGCTGCCCCAAATTGGACAATTTGTAATTTTAGTTTGTATTTCCCGTCCTTACTTACTTTTCAGTCAAAAGACTGTACTTTGATTGTAACAGTTAACACTTTTATTTTAATAATAATTTATATTATGTTTCTTAGCAATGTACAATTATTTAATGAACATGCATATAATTACAAAACAATGTAGTTTATTTACAAATAGTAAATTTATTTCTGCACTAAGGAACATTTACCATTGAGGGAATAGTTCATGTTGCCACATGTTGAGGCTGAGGCCTCGACATGTTTGTAACTAGTACATATTCTGTCTTTTCTTCTTTAATCATTAGCCTCAATGTTTCTTTGCTGTTTGGTGTTGGATTTTGGTAATTTTTCATTACCATTCTTTATTAGGCAACTTTAATGACTTACTGTGAAGTAAAAGACATGCCATCCTACATACTACTTAACATGAGGGACAAAGAGCCCAAATTTAAAAACAATTTCATTAAAGAGATGCATACTAATGGAATATAACTTATATACTCTGCATTTTATAAAGGTTTTTTCTTTCTTTATTTTCAAATAGTTAATCACTCAAAAGAATACAACACTCCACTCTACAATTTTTACACATTTCACCATTTAATGTGAAAGTATTCAACTTAACTTCACTATCAATATGATTCAACTTGATTTCAAGAGGAGAAACTCGCTGACTAACTTATCAACACAGAGGATGAGATAGTGTTTTTATTTATCCAGTCTTTGGGGTAGTGCAGTCTGTGATCATCTGTGTATTACAGATTGCAGGGGCATGTTTAGGATGGAACCAGGCACAGTAGGATGACCCAGGGTCATGTTGAACTGGGACAGAGAATGGCAGAGCACACTCAGAACAGTGGGTAGGGCAGAGCATGGAGTAGATTTTTTTTTTAATTGTTTTTAATTTTTCAAACAAGGTCACAATTGGATACATTATTTCATTTCCAACATCCTGCCAGCAATTTTCTTAGGAATTGTTAGCTATGAAAATTTCGAGGAATTAGTAGTTTTTAATCAACAATATTGCCCTGAATAACATACAAAATACATACCTACCAAAAGTTTCTGAAAAGTCATCCAAAAAAATCTAAGGGAGGCTGAGTGTGACTGAGGGCCTATTTGTGATAAAAAAGAATGATGTTAGAAATGTTTGCTTCAGTTTTTTAATTTCTCATATAACTTTTTACTTACTTCTTTTCTCTTTTCCACTAACTTAGTATGTTAATGTAGAGAACAAAGTGTTTTTGGAAATTCATAAAATTTACAAAAATTGGATTCACCATATAAATTCTGTTTGCATTAAAGCTAGTAGAGTATGTCTTCCACCTTGGAAGTTTGCGTGTGAGGTTTGTAAAGGTAAAATCATACAGCTAACTAATGAGAGTTGGATAAATGATTGTCAAATGGTAATCAGGCAGTGGCCTTGTGATGAGATGGACAGAAAGTTCACACCACCTGGTAACCTAGGGTGTGCTGCAGAACCAAAGCACAGATTTAAATATTTTTTATTTTAATTTTATGCAGTTGGATTCAAAATTTAAATTTAAGAGCAATTATGTATAGTGAAAACCAGTCTCATGTAGTTACTAATGGTTCTATTGAAATTTTGCTGTTAAAAAAAGGGTCTGCTTAATCAAGATAATATGGGAACAGAAAGCCTTAATTATATATAATTATTGTGTTAATTGCTATAAAATGTAGGATGTTTTTCTTAAAATAGTTTTAATTACCTTGAACTGCATCATACAACTTGAACAAGACTTAAGCAACGTATCTAGAATCACGTGTCTCCTCTTGACTAGTGTCAATCACATCCTTGGCATCACGCATTCTCTCACTTGAAAAACTCATTATCTGTCATCAATGAACTGATCTGTGAATAAAACTTGACTAGAAAATTTAATTACCATCCTGTAGATACTTTAGAGTAGGGCTGTGAGATGAAGTTCATGAATGACCAGGTTTTGTGAATGTTGTGTGAGTCATTGTGAACATGTTTGTGCTCTGAGTCATTGACAAGTTCCAAAAGAGTGTAATCAAAGATAAGCAAATTTCAAGAGAAAACTGACAAATGAGTGAAGCAGATACATTTTTATGTCATGTTATATAATGAATTTTATATTAAAATATTGAGCTATTATCTGTAATAGTATTTATTCCCTAGAGAGATCGGCAATACTAAATTTCACTGTTCTAAGTAAACTGACAAAGCATCTCATCGCAGAGAGATACTGAATCAATAATAATCTCTGTTCGTATTTAAATATATGTCTTCCTGCTTACATGCACAAGCCATCATACATCATTCATATTTTTCCCAAATCTTCCAGCTCCATCCATCATTCCTTGTCAACAATTAATTTACTCAGTCCTTATCTCAAACGGAATTACGTCTTACAGTTCATAAAATGTTGTTGTCCACCTGACTATATATCAAATTGTGTGCTTTAAGACATTCATTCCAATTCTGGTTATTGATTTTTTTATATTTTTGGGTGTCTTGTCTATCACTATGGTATCCGTCATATCATTTTTATACAGGCGTGCCTTGCACACGAATATCTAAAGTCTTTGATTATCTTCACTCATTACAGTACTGAATCAGCAATTATTTGTTGCAGTGTTGATTGGTGGGCCCTTGGAGTTTTACTCTACGAGATGCTGGCAGGACGCAGTCCATTTGACATTGCTGGAGCATCCGAAAACCCTGACCAGAACACAGAAGACTACCTCTTCCAAGGTATGGATTACTTTTCTGATGTGATAATTAAATATTGTTTTTATTTTTATGTGTGAATTTCATTAACAGGTGAAGAGGCTCATGAAAAACATAAGCTCTTATAATTTTTCACTGTCCCTAGCTGAGATTGAACCTGAGAACTTAGGTTTGGAAAGCCAGTGTGTTAGAAAATAAATTACTGGAAAAAATAATATTAATGTGCGTGTTTTTGAAGAAAAAGGGCAGAATATTTTTGCAACCAGTGTGATTGTGTACTTATCAACAGCCAGTATGGTAGTTCTGGGCTTAATGTTGTTTATCAGTTGGGAGCAGGATTTACTGAATCTCAAACTCGAATCAATTGTAGAATTACTTGCTTCCATTAACTTAATTTTCACATTTCAGTAAATTTTGCTTTGCTGAGATACGCAGTAAATCTTTGACTGAAAATATGTATGTAATTACCTTGTGTATGATTCAATATATATATATTGCTTGTTAATTTGAAAGCTGTGCAACTCTTCTAGAATTAACCTTTAAGACTACATAATTAATCTCCATTATATTTTTTAAAAACTGAAAGCATTTGAAAATTTAATTTTAGAAAATATTGATTTTTAAATTTTGAAGTTTTAACAAATTTTCAAACAATCTTATTCATGCTATGTAAAAATTATTTGCATCAAATACTATTCAACTTTAAGAATAATTCACTGAAATAATATTTAAGATATAAGATTCTCGTTTACATCAAAATTCAGTGAACAACAGTGTGACAAAAGAGAGAAAAGTAAAATATGTGCATGTTTTCATGAGTTCTGGAAACCATATCCTCTATCTTCTACAATACTAATGTTAAGTACAATTGTACAATGAGTAGGTATACGAAGAGGTATTACTCTAAGAAGGGACCACTTTGATAGGTCAGGAAACAAATAAACATCATGCAGGGTGATAACTGTGCAAGAGATAGTGATGAAGGCATTTACTACTCATCTAGCTGTAAAAACGTACTGACAAAATGAGTGTATGGATGTAACTTGCAGTAACTTGTATTGTAAGCAGTGAGCAAACAGTGTCTGTCAAAGCGATCCCTTCTTAGAGTAATTTCTATATAACAAAGATTCAACAAATACTTCTTGCAACATAAAATAACAATAAATATTTGCTCATATGTAGCAGAAACATTTCTATTGACAAATGAGCTACAGGCTTGATTAAATCAGTATAGGTGTTGGTCAGCAGTGTAGGAATCAAATTTTGGTGGTAGTAGTACTGTTATTGCCACCATTCCTCCCACGTCTGGCAAAATCAGAACAAAAAATCAGCACATTTATTACCAGAAGCAAAGCAAGGTACTAACTCAGCATTTGCCTAATAGATCAATGGAAATTTGATGACGAATCTAATCAACATGGGAGATCGTTGGCCGTGGAGCTAAAATATTTGTTACAGGATTATTTAGTCTTTTAGAATTATACCATACAAATCATATATATTATTTCTATATTGTGTTATATGAACATTCCTTTTGAGGATGTACTACTCATTCAAGCACAGTAAATGCAATGTCATTTGTGAGTTGGACATACCCAATGTCCACACATGTAGTATCCTTTTTTGTGTAAGGAATGTAAACTTTAATAATATGAAAAAATAATTGTTTGAAATGTCAACATCGCACACAACATGACAGTGAGGCAGGTAGTACCGGGGTCAGGCAAGACAGCACAGGACAAGGATGTTGCAAGGAGCAGACTACAGCAGACCACACCAGGCCAAACTAGGGAGTGAATACACTTTAGACAGAATGCATTACTTTTCCCATATGAGTAGATAAATATGGTAAATAAATATCGTGACAAGTAAAAGGATTCGGCTTTATACTTGTGCAATTTAATTGCATGTGTTTCCACTAGTGGTAACTAATGTTTTAAGCTTTTTGTAGGCTTTTTTGTATTTCTCTTATAAGCCTGTAGGTACAACACAGTATATAAAAGTTTAGTGTTGGGAAACAAAAACTGGAGAACTGCATGGAAATATAGCACAATGTTGCTGGTGTACATGTCTACCAAATTAATTCAAAGTATACCACATGAACTTCTACTAGGGTTAATAAGATGTATAGTTTTGTGCATTAAAATTTAGCACTTAAAACACATCCCAGCAAAACCTTCCAAAACATTGCAACAATAAAAAATATAAAATATAACATACTTTAAAATATGAAACATAAAATAAAGAGTGATGAAGGGTTCTGACAGTCACAATGATGTCAAACAAGTTGCTTTGGAGTATTTGTTGGAAAAAACAAAAACTAAGCAATGGAATAAAACTGAGTATTCCAAATCTTCAAAATCCAATAGAAACAGCATTATTTACAGCTGAATCAAATGTGTTGTCATAAATTTGTTCATTCTATCTCTGATTTTGTGGTTAAAAGTACAGCTAGTGTTACAATAGTGTGCACGTGTGCTGAAAGGGTGCCCAGACCTACCAGCACAGGATCATGTCTATCTGTTGGCGAACAAGAACTTAAGGGGAAGCTTAATCACAGCACAAATGGTTAATATTATTATCCAAGAAATAGGGTATACATTCTTTACTCTACTCTATACCTAATTTCATTTGATTTGATTTGATTGATTTTGTCCAAGAACAGTAAAATCTACATGCGACGTATGGAGGAAAGGTATGATCAGCGCTCATTTTTTGAACTCGGTAAACTCTTCCTAAACTTTTAACCATAAATAGTTGAATGATGAATGACAGTTCCAACAAAGCTAGGTTAGTAAGATTTGAAAGTAAACATTTTTGTTCTTGAGTTACAGGAAACTAATTTGGATTAATAAACAAACTACAGATTTGAGTTGAGTTGTTAGTATTTCTAAGACAATAATATCCCATACACTTCTCTATCTCAACTAACAGAAAGGATAGCTCAACAAAATTGGCTCATCTATAGAAGCTTTTGTAATCGGTGGTGTAATTCATTGCAGTAACTCTGAGCCAGTACATGGACTAGTCTTATTGTGACTCTTATCAATGAGCCCTCACCTCCGAACAGACTTAGTTTTGTGATCTTGCAGAAGCCAGAGGCTTATCACTACAGCGACGTCTATTAGAGCCCACTACTGGGGGAACAGTCGGTAGAGAAAGAAAGAACCAACATTTTCTCATGATGTAGCTGCCGACAAAAATCTTATAACCGAGATCTTCAAAGTCAGCACTGTGAGACTTAATGGATGGCAGATCTCTGCCTCTTGAAACATGTACTTATGTGAGTTTGCATAGAAGCCTTAGACATAAGCAATTGCAAAAATTGTGTAACTCATAATCTAGCTCGTCAAGCTTTAAAATATGTGGTGACATCATTGTTTGCGGTCATCAAAATTCGCTGTTTCAAGTTGCTAGTACAGTGTATACAGGTATAACTGGTGTACTGAATTAAAAACTATCAATCCACTAAATTAAATTAAGATTCCCCGTCTCTCAAATCCACTGTTCGTGCACCCCCACTAATCAGATTGATGAGATGATAAAATATTGGCCCCAATGAATAAGATTGTGACCTAGTATTGTTGGTGTTTTCCTTTGAAGTAAATCAAGTTTTTATCATGTAGTGATCCTGGAGAAAACGATCCGCATCCCCCGGTCGCTGTCAGTGAAGGCGGCCTCTGTGCTTAAGGGCTTCCTTAACAAGAACCCGGCGGATCGACTAGGTTGCCACCGGGACACTGGCTTCCTTGACATTGTCAACCACCCATTTTTCAAGAGCATTGACTGGGAACTGGTGAGTGTTCGTTCTCTCCATAGAGAAAGAAACTACCTTGCATCTAGTTTATTGCATTTTCTTTTTTTTATTGTGACATTACTTCTGATGTACTATTTGTCTTTTTAGTTCATTATTTTTCTGTATTTTTGAGCTAAGTTTGGTTTTTGTAGTGTTAAAATTACAGTATGTGAATGATTTTATTGTTTTTAAAACTATCATTTTCTAATTGGTTTTATATTGTTTCTTTCTGTTGTTTTTTATTCTCAAGATTGTTGGTCTGTGTATTTAAACGTTCTTACTTTTGTTTTGTCACTTTGTTGATGTTGTTCTTGTCTCAAATATGCATAATGTTTTTTCATAAACTTATTTTTACCCCTACTATAGTGTACTTTAATTTGTGTAGTTTTATGTAAAAAAATTTGTGTTTCTGGATGTACTCTAATAGTATATCTCTTCTATTTTTAAAGTATGTGCTACTTGCTGAAACATTTCTTAATAATAATGTAATGTACTTTTGTTTCATTTCTCTCCTCTTTTTTTTTTCTTATTTTAATCAGTGTCCTGTATCTTGGTGTTCTGTGAAATATAATTTCACTTTCATACATAATGGAGAAATGTACTGTCAAAAAGTCATATATTGCTTAGTGTTGTAGATATTGTTGTTTGAAAGAGTTAATGTGAACTGTCATAAGTATGAGGAGACTGAGGAGCATTGGTTCAGAAATGGGGACATGCGCTTCATCCTGATGTCGTATCCCTGCAACATATTGCTGCAAAGTGTTTCTTTACTGTTGCTCTTTATCTTGATCTGTGGCAGATATATGGTTGTACCCGTGAGGGCCACTTTGAAGTGTTGGCATCTGTGTCGACTGCTTCCATTTCCCACATGCCTTAGTCTTGACTGCATTCTTGCTGTGGATCTTTCTGCCAAAACATGTCACTTACTGTAATGTGTTGAGCAGCCACCAAGCATTTTTGGAGATGATGATATTTATATGTCTTGTTTGTGCATTTTTTCCTTGTATTTTTCATTTTTTCCTGCAGTTTCCTGCAGTAATATAGTTGTTTTTTTTCCTTCAAATAGCTCTGTATTTTTATTTTGACTTCAGAAGGAACAAAGAGATGTTTCTGTTTTACTGGAAGTAATGAGTTTACATCACAAATACGAAATGCTGGTGTGTGATATAAAGAGAGCTAGATGTAGAGATCATTAATTTTGATAACTAGCTATAGTTTCATTCTCGTGATAACATTCTCATTTACCAGCATTTTCATTACACTTTAATTTTTTCAGCTGTATTTTTTAATATCTTGTGTTTATCTCAGTTTTGTAATTTTCTTTGTTGTGCTTTTTTTTATCTTTCACTTTCATAAGATGTCCTGGCATTGCTTTGCTCTTCTACTTTGGTATTCCTCTTTCTCTCTGCCCATATCCTCTCCCTCATAAATTCTGCCTTATTGCTTTCTCGTGGCTGCCAGCTGTCTGGGTTGGCACAAGACCCTACATTCCACAAGATCTCTGTGTGAATTCATATCCTTCTAGTGAATGAGACAAGAATTTCTTATTGAATTTCTCTGCTCTATGGGTGACTATTTTTTTTTAAACTTCTTCTTTATACATATTTCATAAAATGGCACGTTTGTATTTCATGAGCCTTCCATTACTTTTTAGACAAGAGGAAAACCATAGGGGAGACTATACACTGAATGTTACATGGTTAAGTGTGAGCTGTGAAGTTGAGAATGCAGAGAAATGGGGTGGTAGGAAAGCAAGGCAGTCAAGAGAGGGGAAAGAGAAAGATGAACAAAGAGCGAAATGGCAAGGATCATCATTTGCTGAGCTCTTAGGGTTTATTAGTTCATTACACGGCTTTACCTGCTGGAGGAGATAGATGGTCATATTTTTTAATGAAGAATTTAATTTAGACTCTCTGCTTGGGTTTGTTTAAGAGGGGTGTAAAGTAAGGGTGAATTAATATACCACCCCTTGCTTCTCCCTCAGTTTGCTTTTCATCCCCACTGTTGGCATGTAAAGGGAGAGTTGATTACCTGATATAACTTAAGAATTCCTTGAGGAATCTTGGAAGTATTGCTTTTTTTACTCTTGAGGAATTTCTCAAAATTGGCTTGACGTTTGATTGATGTTGTACTTTCTTGAAATGAAGAATCTACTTTTCTTTTCTTTTCTTTTCTTTGCTCAGCCTTGGTTTGTTTAGTTTCTTTAAGATAATATTTTATTTAAATAACAATTTTATATATGAAATTACATTAATAAATTATTTCTTTTGAAGAAAAGTACATAAGCAAATATATAAAAAAATATAATATCATTAAAATATTTGAGAGTCAAGATATAAATGTAATTTTAATTTGTCATTACAAAATTAATATCAAAGTATTTTTGTGATCAATCTAAACACTAAACTTTAATTTGCGATTAATATAAATCAATTTGTGAGATGGCTTTTTCTAGATATTCCATTAATGAATCTTTTGAAACAAAAATATAAATCATTCTTTGTGGAGGGAAAAAAATTAATCATGAGGCAAAACTAACAGTCCTCAGAGCAAATCTATAATTACCTCAGTGCCTGTTAGGATAATTTGGTAATTTCATTTCCATTGTCTAGCCAAGTGTGCACTTGTGCTCATTTGTATTCATCACTGCAAACAGCTGCCAGATGTTTATGTGGTTCCCAACGAGGATGCACTTGGCAACAGTGAATGTTCGGTTCATAAATTTAAGTAAAATGTAGTTATATATCACCACAAAATGCTGCTGTTCACACAAGTTAATGTGTTGGTGAATCTTGCATAGAGCAAGGTCTCTTGGGCTGATTCAGACTTATCCTAAAAAAGAACTGTGATGTAATTTCCTGGGTTCCTTTTTAATAGTCACAACTTTCTGTTATCATTATAAACTACATAATATATAGAATATATTTTTATTTAATGTAAAAATTTGATTCGCAAAGCACAAAGGAAGTAACTGGTATAATATGAAGTATATCAAAAGTTTTGTGAAAATATTTTTAATTGGTTATTTTATCCATTAAATTATTATTTATATAGGCAATGTAAAGTAATTTCTTTTAATACTCATGTATTATGGCAAAATAGTTGGTAAGTACGCAAGATTAAATGATTCAGTGTAATGATCAATAACAACTATGGTTAGGGATTGAGCTGGTATTTTGGTTGTGCCTGTGATGGGTAAACAGTGGTGACTTGAGGAGAGGGTAAACTTGCCACTGGCCCCTAAAATTTGTTTATTCAAGATAATTGAAACATATATGAATCTCTAATCCAAATTTAATATTATAAGTTATTGCTGAGTAAAGGAGAAATGAATTCTGTTTATGAATTCATAGGAAGGAATTTTTTTTGTTTAAAAGAGGGGCCCCCTTAGATCAACTGCCTTGAACCTCTTGTTTTTTTCTGGGTACCACTGCATATAAATATGATTGTGAAAGATTCAGATTTTTAATGTTATTGTTAGTATTATTATTGTGGTTGTTCAGCTGTTGATAACTGACAGAAGTAAGTTAAATACAATATTATGTTTTTAATTTTTATAATTCAGGGACTAGGGTTTTGGCACCAGGGACAGGTGTTTTGTTTTTGGAGGAATTAGGTTTTTAAGTACAATAGATGTTTGAAAATAGGGCTTTCAATGTTTCAGCATTAATTTAAAATTTTGACTCTCTTCTCAAGTTTGCAGTATCTCTTTATTCCTATTATTTAATACAGCAGTATATCAAGCTTGTGAATCAAACTTCTTTAGGTTCCTAAGAACAGGAAGAGACAATATATTAGGGGGCACTGAATACCTTTTAGAATACTTTTTGAGAACAGTTTTATGATGTAATGTAGTTCATTTGTTTTGTTTTTTTTTGTTCAAGTGCACCTTTGTACATTTAGAAAATATTCTTTAGAAAACTTTAATTCCATGGGATTGAAATTAAGAAGCCTTTTAACAGTGAATTGATTTGTAGAAATTTTGCTGTTATGCTAACTTTTTAAGTATGTCTTTCCATTGGATGGAGTCTTGAAGTATGAATAGGTACAAAAGAAAGTTTAAGTTTTCTTAAAAGATGGCTTGGGGGTTTTGTTTCTTTTTGATATAGCTTTCTGCTCAAGAATTCTCTTTTGTGAAATGAACCTTCATATTTCATTCTCTATATTTCCGCCAAGATTTATTCAAACCTCTGTGAACATGTGAAACGAGGAAGCATTGATATGCAGAACAGGTAATGATGTATAGAAGCCATAAAAAGTGCATACAGGTCTGTATTCTGTTTCATTAGCATGCAGAACAAAGGTGTTGCCTGTGGGAGCTGTTGTGGAATGCAGGTTTACGACCTTGCACCCATTAGCTGTTATAAAACAACACAAGTGCTACCACCAGTAGCAGTGGCCACAGACAGTATGGCTGGCGGTTTATGAGTGTGTTGTAGGCATGTTCAACAAAAGATGTTTCCTTATTTATTTCATTTCCATTCCTTCCTGCTTTGAATTTTTTGGGTATATTATGAGTTTTCAGTATGATAATGCCAGGCATGATGAGAACGATGGTTATTTAGAAATTGTTGAATATCAGTTTTTTTTGTCATGAATTTTGTTGCCCATAATGTTGTGGAATCAATGTTAATTGTGTGATATCAACTTCTCTTGTAATGAAAATATCATCAATAATGTTCACTATTCCTTTCTTTTTGGCATTTTGTTTTTTTGAAATAAAAAAATTCAAATTTCTTCAGTTGCTATCAGTAATGGATGTTTTTCAAATAATTGTTCATTAAGAAAATTGTTCTTTTAGATTTATAAGGAAAAATTAATCGTGTGTTTTAATTCTATACACTTTTGTTTCTTCTTCATAGGTTTAAGATTGTTTTGTGTCAGACACCTTCAGTTGTAATGTTAGTTTGGTAATGTTTGTATTAGATTTTCGTTATTTAGCTCATTGTAAATATAAGGCATATGTCAGTGGTTTCTTGGCAAAGGTAACCAAGCCCACTTTTTTTTTTCCTCTTCAGAAAATGAAGTAAATATATCCAATAATTGACAAAAAAAAACGAAATAATGTTGAAAAACTATTAACTTAGAACACATACTTTCAAAAGAAATAATTATTTACATCTGTACAAGTACCCAGATTTTTATGGAGAATCATTAAACCTTAAAAGGCCTCTTTCCAATTCTTAATTTTTGGACTTGGTCGATTTTATCAAGAAACTGATGTTATGTTCTATAATTATTGTTTGTACATTATTGAATTTGTGTTTATTGTAGGTCAAATGTTGAATTTGCATCTCCATTGCTGGCACTGAGTGGACAACTGCCCAGCTGTGTTTTGTATGTATTCATGTTCTCACTGAGTTGAATGAAAGGAGTGCCATTTTCAAATATGTACTTTTATTTAGTCAAGAATAAAAATTCAAAAAAAAAAAAAAATTAAAAGAACATAGGAAAATTTGCAAATCGAAATGTGAAATTATCCTCAGATGTCATGACATTTGTTTCAAATATGTTGATGTTAAAAAGTTGTTTTGGATTCCAAGTAATTATACAAAAATTCCTACACGAGTTTATTGAATTTTCAAATAATTATTTCAACATATTACTTAAGATCTTATGGATGAACCAAATATACAAGGATGTCTGGAGGTATCCTCGTCCAAATTTGGCAAGGGAAAGAAAAATAAGATGTTGTTATATGTAACAAGTTTTTTTTGTAGGTGTTAATTATGAACCTATTTGAAAATTATACCATTTCTTTGGAAAATTTATTTTACTTTATAGTACACAAAAATGGGTTTATGAAAACTGAAAGGTACTATTAACTGCTAGTGCAAGTGTCAGTTCATTCCTGCTTAGTGAGGACTTGAATTTGTTGTCTTGTGTTTTGTGTAAATTATTGGTGTGTGAATGCATGAGCCTGTTGCAAAGGTAATGAATTTTGCTCCTAAGCAGGGACCTCCAGAAGACACTGAGGTTCTTGTTTTGAAACTGTGTAGATCATTGTGTTGTGCATATTGTTTTGTGTGTATCATTTCAGCATATGACAAGGTGGTGCTTCCTCAGTTTCAAGAATTCTGTGGAATTGTTTCTGCTGTTTTGTGGGTTAAATACATTATCTTAAGGCGGTGAAAGAAAATATGTCTGTCTTCTTATATTTTTTATAATCACAGCCAAATTATAAAGTGGGTTTCTGAATAGTAATTTATGTTAATGTTTCATTAAGAAGCCCCTCAAATATTTTATACTTCTGCCTGTATTTTCCAGTATTTGGGGGGAGGGAATCAGTAAGCAATATGAGAAGTTCTTAAAACCAATGCATTTTTCCTGCATAAATTGTCACATGAAACATGTTAATGCATTTACAAAATAATGTATATAAGAATAAATATAAAAATGCTCTGTAAAATTAGTTTTACAAAGAAATGAAGCAAAATAGCATAATTGACTTCAATGTTTACCTTTTTAAAATAAAGAAATCGAAATTGTAAAAATTCAAGTGATTTTTGAAAGTAGGTTTGTTTTCCATGAGCTCACGATGCTAGTTTAATTTTTTTTAAATTTTTTTAAACCTTCATGACTTAAAAATATTGGCAAAAGCAGTTGAAGGCTTCCGCGGCCAAGTCCAAGTTCTGTCATTGCTCTTGAGATACTGTGTTCTTGGCTTGAAGGTCAGCGTTTTGAACCTTCATTTTTTGAGCCTTCTTCAAGGTAAATTCCAATAAATATGCCTTCAAGTCACGGAGAATGACAGCGTATGACCGGTCAAGGTCGCTGGTCTCCCAGAACTAAGATGACAAATGTCCCGTAGACTCTTGTTTGCGAGATTTTTTTCTGAGGGACCTTCTTCAAGTTAGAATTCTTTGAATGGAATTCTGGTGAAAATACCTCAGACGAAAAGGAGGGCTCGAAGATGAGGATCGAAACGTTGGTCTTTCATCTTTCAAGTACGCGGTATCTTACTGGCAGCGAAAACAAATGTCACGTGTGCCACAGATGAAGCCTTCCACAGCCTGAGTTAAAAGGGAATTGGCTGTTCGGGAGTCGCCATGGTGTAGGCAAGGCTGACAACTTTTCGACCGTCATGTTGCGATCTTCTCGTTAACCTTCATGAATGTCGCCCTCTACCGGCGGAAACGTGCTATTCATGACCTGAAGCTGGGTATCCACAGACGAGCCTCGCTTGACGAGTCTCGCACGCGCCGTTTGCAAATCTGTTGTAGCTGCTCCCTGCTTCATTGTTCACGGAACTGGGTGAGACAGATTTACAATCTGCGCAAGCCGGGCTTGCGAGCGCGACTTATGATTGTATTGTTAAACCGCATACTGGTCGCAATGTTTTTTATAATTTTTTTACAAACTGCTAAAGTAAATGGATAAATGGATCGTATGTGCAATGAACGTCTATAGTTGGAGGCGATTAAAAAAAATGAACTTGTCAGGTATTTGATATTAGTCAGCATGACAAAAAATCGCCCATGTGATTAGTTTCACTTTCGCATTTCCAACTCAACGTTGGGGTATCTGCAGTTAACATAAAAGATCTTTGAGTCCAGATAACGTAATATTTTCAATGCAGATTATCATGACTGACTTCCTTCGTATAACTACTACCAAAGTATTTATACAGATGTCTCATAATAAGTAATTCAAACTTCAAGGACATAGAGGTCGAAAATAATAACTTTTTGCTAATGAACACCTATTGGAAAACTGCATATAAAGGAATAGTACGCACTTGTATGTAGATGGAGCCGTAGGCTTCCGCGACCGAGTCTTGTGAATGATCTTGGCTGTCCGGGTGACGCCCCGTCGAAGGCTGTGTTGCCGACGTTTCGACCATCTTACCGTAGTCTTCTTCATAGGATGACCACGATAAGATGGTCGAAACGTCGGCAACACAGCGTTAGACGCGGCCGAAACCCGGAGAGCCAAGATCATTCGCATTTGTACGCACAAATGTTCGGCAGGTACAAGAAATCTCCTTAACTGTCAGAACGTGACCTGCCTATCATATGTACATACGCGGTTGCCCAAACCCCAGAACCTGATGGTATGCGTACAATCTCACACAACTCCTTCGTTTTCAATTTCCCACGATCTGTTCATAAACAATAAGTATCATTCTCGACCTCTCTGTATGCCGTAGAAGTATTCTGAAACATTCTGTAGTTATAGGGAGATTATTCTAAGAAGGAACTGTTTGGGCAGCTACAATTAGCGGCAGAACTGCAGATTATGCACATGCGCTGAGTTCGTCAATTTGTTCGTTTGCACTTGTCTCACTTGTAAATGGCATTGACACCAGCTATTGCGATGTCACCGTCCGACATGACGTAAATTTGTTTCGCGACCTGTTCAACTGATCTCTTCTTAGAGTCTGTAATTAAGTCCATTTATCCACATACTTACGCTGTGTACTGCGATTTATGCATCTCTGCCCCTGGTAGGTATCAGCTGTCGACGGTTTCATCCAATCGGGAGCTAGAACGTCACCATAGTGACGTTCAAGCTCCCGATTGGATGAAACTGCCAACAGCTGATGCCTGCCAAGAACAGAGTTGCGAAAACCGCAGTATTGTCTCCCGAACAGCCAAGATGACGTCATGAGGGCCCACCCTCTGGCTAGGCACGTAGGCGGGAGGGGATTGTGGGTGGGAGTGGGAGGCGGGTGGGAGAGCGGGGGTGGCGCGTGGGTGCGGAGCGCTCCCCAAAGCGTGCGGCCTGTGTTGTTGTTCTCAGCTGCACCGGAAGCAAATCCCACCCCCTTTCCACCCGCAGCTGGAGTCTGAGGTGGACATCGACAATTTCGATCCGCAGTTCACGCTGGAGCCGGTCCAGCTCTCGCCCGACGACCCGTAAGTGCCGGGGCCCCAGTCCCCCCTCCCCTCCCCTCGCCCTCGCCGCGTCCCTCACTCGAGCCCACGCCTCGTCACACCACGCCACGCCACACCACACCACACCACACCACACCACACCATGCCACGCCACACCACACCACACCACACCATGCCACGCCACACCGCACCACACCACAATACGCCACACCACACCACACCACACCACGCCACGCCACGCCACGCCACGCCACGCCACGCCACGCCTCTCCACACACGTCACATTACTTCGAAGATGAATGGTCTCACCGCATACATTCAAACAGAACTCACTCGATGCAATACACAATCAGTTTCAAGGACATCTTGGCATCATTCAAATGTCATCAGTATAGAAGTGTCAGAATAAGCATTTTCCTACGAATCTCATTTTTCCCTTCCGTTATTTCGTTTGTTTAATTGCATACATGAAATTATCTCCCTCTTCTATGATCTCAAATATTTTAAAACAGTTTTTAATATACATGTGTCTCAGAATAAATGTTACTAACTACTACGGCTTATACAGAAATCTTTCGGCAATGAATATGTGAGAAATTTCATACAACGAAGTTACACATGTGTAATTGTTCCTGCTTGTTTGGCGCAATTTTCAGTGGGTATCTCTTTGACTGCGTCAGAACCTGGCTTGCCAAACAGTGCGTAATGAGTTTTCTAACACATAAGAGCAAATGTCGCATGTGTTACTTAGTTAAATGAAGTATACCACCACATGTTCATTGGCAAAAGTGATCATTATCAGCTCCTGTCCATGCTCTAGGAGTTCGTAACATTTCTTCTGACACTTTTTTTTAACTTGGCGCGTCGGCCCGTGTTCAGGACATGACCTACCAGCGAGGCCCCGATTATAGAAAAGAGAGGTTATTTGATGTATGAAAAATAAAAACTAAACGAAATAATGAAATGAAAAAATCGAAGTTGATTGTGGATATGTTCTGAAGTCTTAGAAATATCGAAATTCCATCGGAAAAAACTTATTTTTCGCAGCACTATTCTATTCTGTTTAACTAAGGGTTATGTTCCGTTTTAATTTCGCATTTCTCAGTCAGCATGCGTGATATCAACATGATTTAATTTCCCATAGTGTGTTGATTTGAGCAGCAATCGTAGGTATTGAAAACTAATATTAATTTGGCAGATACTGAATAACAAGATTTCTATTGTTCAAAGAAAACTCGACGGATTCTAAAATAAAAATTGTGTATTTTGTTTACGCGTTTATTATCTTAATAGTGTGTTTTATATATATATATATATATATATATATATATATATATATATATATATATATATATATATATATAATTTTGAATTTCACATCTGATGGAAAGATTCAGATCAATATAATCCTCGTAATTTTTCTAAAATAACGACTTCCGTAGCGAGAGTCGATTGCAGGAACAGCATATGTAGGTCGCCATGGCGACATTTTCGTTGATCCATCCGTCAACAGGTGGGCTTTAAGGTTGAAGTGCTTGAAACAATGGAACGCTCGGTTTAAATTTCTTTGTATCGTTCAGTAAACGTATTTGTATACCTTTTTTACGGCACAGAAACGGTTCTGCCGCACAGAAAGTCGCATTTTTGTTCTCCTGTAGAGGCAAAATTCTGTCCAGGTTTTGGAGAATAAAAAGCATTCTTGCTACACGCATGTAGAGAAAGTTTGTTTTAGGCTCTTGTATTACTTTTTAAAGATGTACAGAAATACGTACACTTCGGTTGAAGAACACAAAAGTAAGTGATTGAAGTTTGATTTATAATATTTACGTTAGACTTAAAAATTCTGATTTATACCAAGTATCGAAAAAATTGTATCCAGTTTTGATGGGCCAATGGCCCTGGGGGTTTTGTCGCCGCTCATTAGAATCCTTATAACGCCCTTGGTGCGTAAATAATATTTCCGCCAAGAAGCAGGGGAAAATTTCAGCATTTGGTATTAATAGAATCGGAACGAGAAATAAAATCAAAATGATTTACACGACTGTTCTAGACTTTACAAATAGAAATTGGGCCTTGAGAGAGTTGAGAGGACTTCTAAAGAGCTTCTAACATGCATAGATGTTGACGGTATGCGTGGAATGTTGCCTAAGATACATTATATGTCGCGCATTTAATGTACATCCTTTTTGATAAATAATAAAGCAAAGTGAATAGCGCTGTTATAATGAATGAAGATTGCTGCCCATGAGTCTAACTTCTTCGCAAGCGCCTCGAGTAGTAACGGAACTTGAAAGTCGACTCAGATACGTGTCATTTATCTCCACAGACACACGTGTTCGAGTCATAGCCCTAATTTAATTATTTATGAGATGAGTTATCCCTATAAGCTGAGGAAAACTACGTGTGACGTTTATAAAAGTAGGTCGAAATATTGTAAAGAGGATTCCGACACCTGTCGTAAATTATGAAGATTAAATAGATGCATTGACTAGGAGTAAAACCAGTTGTATATTACCGTGAAGTATAGACACTTCAGTTTGAGGCATTCAGTAGCAAGTTCCTCTTCGTGTAAATGTCGGCTGGTGAAAACCTTTGAAGTGAACTCTAGCGTTCATTAAGCCAGTTGTGTTTTATGGTTAGTTTCATCGTAGTTACAAATCGTGAAAAATCGACGCAACGAGTTTATTGATTTTGATTAGTAATAAGAGGCATGATTCGAAGGTACGTGCGTAAGAACTTTCACATTTGATGAACATAAGATTATAATATTGAGATTCTTGTTGATTTACTGAAATTGTTAATGTTAATTTATACTAACTAGTATTTGACGTGTAATAAATTTGTCTCTACGTGTTACAATAGAGTTGAATTAGCATAAATTGTCGTGCTCTCGATTATAATATTGCTAGTATAAAGTTGTGTAAAAAGTATTCATTTATGTCAACTGAAATGATCGCTAGTTGATAACCTCCTCAATACTTTCACTGAATTGTTTTATTGGTGAGACATTACATCACAAATGTTTCATAAGTGAACATTTTATGACCACACACAAAACACATTTCTGGCACGTACGAATTATGAAAAAGGAACACATGACCCGCCGAGGTTCGCGAGGGCGGGTTTGGGCGTGGGCGTGGGCGAAGGTGAGGGGCTGGCCGGGATTTTCCCGCTGTCCCTCGTTCTGTGCTGTGGATCGCCCCCGAGCATCACCTTAGATGGTTTGACTCCCTCGCCCCCCTTCTCTCGCTCGTAGCCGACCAGCCTTGCCTGCTCGACGCTTCCCGTAGACAGCGACTCGAACGGCAGTCGCCTGCGGTAGTGTGACGTACTACTTGCAACCCTTGTATTTTGTGCTGCTGTCGCTGCTGCTGATGCTTCTTTTCTTTTTGTATTATACTTTTTTTTTTCGTACTACCTTGCTAATATTTTTCTTTATAGCCGTTTTGCAGTTAGATGCCGTAGGCCAGTAGCAGACTGTAGGTGCGTGTGTGCGTGCGTGTGTGTGTGTGTACTGCTGTGTCCCCGCCCCCGCCCCCTTTCTCCGAGCGTGGGGGCGAGCGCGGAGTGCATCTGTTGCCTGGTTTCGCAGCTTGAGCAGAAGCAAGTGCCCCCTCCGTACAAGCCGCGCCTGGAGTCCGACCGCGACCTGGCCAACTTCCCGCCCGAGTTCACGGACGAGCCGGTGCATCTGACGCCCGACGACGCGTGAGTAGACCCCCAAACCCGCCACGAACGCACTGACTGTGGCGCCCCAGCGGGAAAAGCGTGGACCTGGAAACGAGGAGCGGGGAGGGGAGCGCTGCCGGGATGCAAGTTCCGGACCGCTACCTGTGGTTGCAGATACTCTTGTAGAAGCTCGATATCTCGAATCCACAATAGTTCGATATCTCGAATTCATCTATATCTCGAAAGATGATATCTCGAATTTATCAATATCTCGATCCACGATATGTCGAATTCATTTAGATCTCGAACCAAAAGATTTCAATTTTTTTCATTCCCTTTCATCTTCGTAATGCATGTGATGTTACTTCCCGATACATGTTTACAGAATTCAATAACTCATAAATCGAAATATTCGATAATTTGAACTTTTTTCTTTCTTCGGATTTTAGATATCGAGATTCCAATGTTTTTCCTACAAGTGAGAGGAATTAAGAATATTCCCCAATAGCTGAATGAATTCCAGCTTGGTCCCGAATTTCGAACCCTTCATACAATATCAGTTATTTTTGACAAATAT